CTTGATTTTTCAAGTAAGCGCGTCACCACTGGGCCACTAGTGTCCTGGAACATTATAGGTATAGTACCAAATTCCTGATCTGTGAGTACGGTAAAAAAAATAAAGTAAGAATATTACAATTGGCAACAGCAATATAATTTAATTAAAAAATCAATTTCAAAAGAAACATAAAATTAAGTAAATACATAGTTATAAAGTTTTATACTTTGGAATTGAATAAATCAAACGTGTATTCGAAATAGTGTTATTACATTCTATGTAGATAATGTTACACGATTGCTCTATTCTCCTAAGAGTTTCACAAACTTCTTATTTGTGAGTGGGCTTTTATCATATCTTATAGTAAAATTAGTTTTTTTATTAAATGTCTAGAAATAATGGACTTTTTTACTTTGCGCGCGTATGAGTTAAATTTCAAAGTCGCGTCACGAGAAATCTTGCTTGTATTAGGTTGCCATAGTAACTCTTTCTTATTTTTCCTCTCACTAATAGATACCTACGCTATTCCTTAGAAATAGTTTATTTTGTAGATGAACGAAAAAAATTACGAAGACGTTAAATATATACTAATTGACGCAAATAAAAGATTTTCGGTGAATTATAATTTGTAATATTTTGTACTATAGGTTTAATTAAGGTTACAATGGTAGAGCAAAATTTAATCTTGCACTAAATAGTGGGATTTTTTTTCAGCATTATCTATAATCGGATAAGCCATAGTAATTATTTAGAAAATCTTTTTCTCACTTCTTTTGTTTTGTTAGATTTTTCAAAAAGTTTTTATATAATATTTTCAAGGGGTGATCTTTTATTTTAAGTAAATGCTATACCATTTTTTCTTACATACTAGCGACTCACCCTCGCTTAGCTCGGGTTTATCCTTAGGTACATTTTAAAGGTTAGACTATATAGGATATACATAGGTATGATGAGTTTTATATCCCTTACTTGAAAAATAATTGATTCTCCATACAAACTTTCATCCCCTTTTTCACCCCCTTAACATGATTTCCGGGATAAAACCTATCCTATGTCCTTTCCAGGGTCTCAATCTATCTTCATACTAAATTTTATCTAAATCGATTTACCAGATTTTTTGTTTATTCATTACAAACAAACTTACAAACTTTACCTCTTTATAATATTATTGCAGATTATAAGACCACAGAAATAGTCAGTAATAGCGACTTTGTCTAATATTCAATGAAGCGAGGTAAAGAAAGATATCGTTTGAAGGTTTGATAAATCTTCATCAAAGTGTTCACAGACTGAATAAATCGAGCAGTCCCTTTTACATTCTATTGTTTGCTCAAATCTATTATCTCTAGGAATGATTTCGAATTTTTAATTACAACGTCTGATCTTTGTTACTGAGTTATGAGTTTTAGTACAATAGCTTATTGACATATCGCTAGGTAAAGATCGTTGTTGTTTGTTATGGGATTTGATCTATATCTATATATATAATAAAATTGTAACTAAGCCGAATCTGTACATTAAATATTTTTTGGGATATCTTATTGAAATAGACATTATTATCGATAGAGGCCGAATCTATAGTTTTTTAGAATTTTTGTCTGTCTGTCTGTCTGTCTGTCTGTCTGTCTGTCTGTCTGTCTGTGACCGCATCACGGAAAAACCACTGGAGATATTTTGAGGAAATTTGGTATGATGATAGCTGGTTATCTGCGTCAACATATATTCTATAGAATACTTTTTACTGCGGGAAAATATCTCATCTCCGAGAAATCTATAGGTACTAATCGTTAAAACGTAACTAGGGATGAACCCGAGTGGAGCGAGGGTGAGACGCTAGTGTGTGTATAAAAATGAAATAGCAATCATTGATTAATCACGAAATCTCAGAAAATATCGATTCTACAGACTTGAAATTTGGTAAGTAAAATTCTCATTGGTTGTATGTATCCGCTATGAAAGGATTCTTGAAAATTCTTTTCTAAGAGATAAAAAGATAAAAAGAATTAAAAGATTAAAAATCCGTTATTTTTAAATTTACAGTGACCAATAATAAACTAATCTTCTTGAATAAAAATGACGATGATTCTAATTCATAGTTTTATTCATAATAAGCAAAATTAAATAATAAAAAATATGTTGGGACTAAGCATCATTTAGTTCCATGGTCAAGCTTCGAGGCTTGTGTTATGGATATGTATATAACTTTAAATACATACATATTATAAATATAAATACCCATGACTGGAGTACAAACATTCGTGCTTATCACACAAGTGAATGCCTCCAGCGGGACTCGTATCTGCGACCGCTGGTACAGCAAGTAGTGTCACCACAAACTGAGCCAAAGTTGTCGTCGAATGATGACATTTAAACGAATGAAAACAATTTTGAATGAAATAGTGATGGTCTAAAATTAAAGTTTCGTTAGAGCTTCTAAAAGTTTTAACATAATCTTTAAAAACTTTCACAGTATTACAATCTACTCGCAGGGTAACGGCATGATGTGTGCTTTTAAGTGTGAATGCCCAAATGTTGGTCAGTTACTCGTCCAAGTACTTACCCCTAGGGACGTTATTTAACTTTAGTAATCGTTTTAGACACAAGTTTTAAGTTTTAAGTGCTTCATTCTAAGGTGAAACAGATGTAATACTTTTCTAAAGTTAATTAATGACTGACACAGATATTAACTATTTATTTAATTTTTATAGATTTATTTATTAAGAATATATATATTTTTGATAAAGGTACATATTTTTAAGAAATTTTGCGCGTTTTAGTTTGACGGGACAAGACGGGATCTCCCCCGTGACCTGTGACTTGTTTGTTGTCAAGAGTACGAAAGGTCAAAAGGTTGAAAGGTAAAGAAACAAAAAAATAAAATAAAACGCGAAAAATGAGTTAAAAGTAGTTTTATTGAGATGTCAAATATTCGTTTATTTGTTTATATTCAAGTAAACCTAAGAAAGTATTACTTTAAACAAGAAATTATTTGGATAATAACTTGATCTTATAGAATTCTTAGTCAAATTCAACTCTTATAGAGTTGATATGTACATATTAATTCAACGTAGGTACTGACAATTACTTATCAGAATGACTTAGTTATCATTAATTATTATTATTTATATGCTAATATTGACTTAAATATGAACTGCTACTGCATTTTCATATCTTATCTACCACAGACCACGTGATATACCAGAACTAAATATAACCCAAGCTGTAAACGATGTTATAACACTTACCTAGCAACAGCTCGCTTTAAATCGAATGCGTTCATAGATGACTTTTTTTAATGTTGGGAAATGCATATAGATATACCACCTGTATACACTCAGGATATGTGGGACTCACCGGCTAGAAAAACCAGTACTACACACTAAAACCCAACAGACCCTCCCCCGTTAAGGGGGCGTCGCAGGATCTGCAGGTCTGCTATCAGAGAAGTGCCAGAAGCAACTCGCATAGCACACTCGTTCATAGATGCCTATACTATGTGTTACTCCAGTTCATAGTACGAGTATACCCGTGTAGTAAAATTTGAAACTAAGTTATCTATTTCACTCCGCGGGCCTAAAGGAATAACAAACACACACAGACGCTCATGTATATACAGACAATAAACTGTTACATTTATAAATATAGTAATATGATGTAACTTGTACGCACGAGTACATTGTAGATATATTTATTATAATTTTACAGCAAAACCACTGATCCGATCTTAATGAAATCGTAACAGAGATAGATTGTGTACTGAAAACGGATATAACCTACTTTTACGCGGAAAAAGAAAAGGATTTTCACGGGTCGTGAGTAGAAATATGACGGAAATTATGTTATTATATAAAAACTACATGGTCCTTGATAGAAATGAACAGATTTTTAGGGTTTCGGTAAACCTTTACAATACTTTATATTCCTACTGTAGATAGAAGATCGCAAAATCTTCTTATGGGATGCTTTTCATTGTCTAATACATGAAATTAAAATGACGATATGACATAACTAATAAGAGGGTTTAGACAAGGGCTTAAACTAATCATCGTATATATCAATAACTAATAATACATCGGAAGTGTGCCAACATGAAAAATTTCAACATGTAGGATAAGACGAAGTGGTTCTAATTCAGTTTGCAAGATTTGAACCATACAAACATACCAACGTGACATTAGTAACTAGTTTCTTTATTAATTTTGGAAAAAAGTAAATAAACTATATATGTTGTAGAAACCCAAGATAATGTAGACCATATTTAGAAATTTGATACTACCAAATCAAATAGTTATGTAAATATTAATTCGATATGAAAATATTATTTGTAATACATGCTTACCATTGTATAAACTTATAGTAGGGAAGCCCAAGATGGGATTTTTGCAGTTACTCCAGCGCGGCAGATACATAGATGATGATAGATAGAACATAAGGATGACATGATAGATAGAGGCAAGAAGAGGCAAAAATTAACACAAACTTTATAGTCCATTTTCGCCTCTTCGGCTTGTGCAAGTCGGCAGATTATTGACTTGCACATTTTTCAGAACGTAGGTATTTAGCCCACCATACCTTAATCTGACGGTTTCAAGTATTTCTACCTTATCAAAATATTTAAAAATATTTTGATCGCGTGCACGCCCTAGCTCTCATACTGATAATTTCATATAGCGCTGTAGTATACCTAATTAATTAAATTATAATAAAATAAAAAATATAAAAAATAATTTAAGTAATATTATAAAATAAACCTACTTACTACAGCGCCATCTCGTAAATTTTGGTAGTACTTGCATTGTCGCCAATGGATCATCCATTTATGAACGAAGTGAATGCTAAAACCTACTGAACGACCGCTTACGCAGAGCTCGGTAACCCAGTTATTAGACTATAATGAAACTAAACTTGTACTTCAATATCTAAAAATATACAAGAAACTAAATAAGTGCTCTTCGCATTTATAATATTAAAGTAATTATTGTTCCAGGTAAAACTGTATTAACAAGTAATCACAGTCAGCGATGGAAGACGTCAACAATGCGCTTAAAGAGTGTGGCTTCGGCCTGTTCCATATACAACTCCTCTGCACTTCCTTCGTAGCACTGAACGCTGGTATAACCATCACAAACAGCACATCGTACATATTACCAGTGGCTGAATGTGATCTCGACATGAATCTTCTGCAAAAGGGGCTGTTGAATGGCGCACCGTATTTTGGTAAGTCTATTTATTCTATTGTGTAAAATAATATAAACTGTGACATCTATAAGAACCTAATTCTGAGACATTTTTATAAAAAAACTAGTGATTTTCCCTTGCTTCGTTCGGGTGTGTCCCTAAAGAACGTATACAGAATAACACAGCGGATTTTAATCACAATCGGATCAATAGTTTAGGAATGCGTAGAAGACAAACATAGTAACATTCATTTTTTTATGTAGATAGTTAAAAATACATAGTAATTAATAAAAAATATAACTTGTGTACGGTTAAAAAGCTATCAATTGTACTTTTATTATACGTATATATATAATATGTACATGGACAAATTCTATTCGTATATGTTTTCTTCAAGTTTTCAATAATGATCAATTTCGAACATTAGACGAACTAGTTATAGATTAATGACTGTCATAGTGTGGAGTCGTAAAAGTTTGACTGATACTGTTTACTATGTAGAAGACCGCCGCTTCAATACCCGCCTTGGGTAATTATTTATATCAAAAACAGACGTTTATCTAAATCTGGCTAAGATGAGACAAGTTTGAAGAATATTCTTTATCTACCATGTTAGAGAAATAGTATAAAGCTAATAAAAAAAAGCGTAGGTACACTATACTTTCATCCAGATGAAAAAATAAAACCAACTTGTCACTTAAATATTGCTATAATAAGTTTATTTGTTCCAGGAATGATTCTATTATCAATTGTGGGTGGTTTTTTATCAGACACATTTGGACGCAAGTTTTTCTTAATATTTGGTTTTGGAGGTGTTTTTATTTTCACTGTATTAGGTGGATGCAGTCAAACATATTCCGTATTAATTACGGCTAAATTTTTCGAAGGAGTATTGTAAGTATTATGCATAATATTCATATCTATATTATAAATCACCTTAAAATCACTTTTCGCCCAAAAATCGGCATTCCCATTCAGCAGGGTAATGCGGCTAGCATTCTTGCCACTATTCCTGTTAAGAAAAAAGTATTTATATTTTTAAATTAAAACTAAGTCCAACCATTCAAAATAATCTTAACATTAAATTGTACTTTTATGAATCCATAAAACAATATTTGTATCAATCTAATATTCACGATTGAATCTTATTTTTACAAAAAAGAACACATAAAACAATTTACGTGTAAAGATATGTTTCTAAAAACCAAAGTTGCCACAGTCTAATCGTCTATTCTTGTGATTGCTGGCAATCTGTCCAAACTTTTGGCTAAAAACGTTTTCATTGTGTCAGATTCAGACGCTTACAGCATCTATTTTAAGATGAAACAGAAAATGGATATATTCTCATCCTAATAACTTTAAATCTGGCTTAGCAGTAAGATTATTTTATTCAGGGTATTTATATATGACTTATTTTAGATGTATTGTCTATCTGGCAGTGTAGTGTGTAATTAATTACCAACACTAGTGCGATGAAAATCGTAAATTACGTCCCCGTGATAGTAACTATTATACGACAACTAGCCCTTAAATTTTATAAAAGTACCATTATATTGATGCATCAGTTATTTACAAAATCTTAAATAATACGAAAGCGAATGATAATTATATTAATAGAATTGCCCTATAATAAATTTTCAAACTTCGCAACAAATAGAAGCTTTCAACAACTTTAATTAAAATGTTAAATTATTATAAATAGGAGTTTTCATCATCAGAATTTGTTTAAGATACTAAAGTGTTAAACCGTTAATTATGGTACGACAGCTAAATTACACAGCAACATATCGGCAATACAGAGGCCGAATCTATAATTTTTAGATTTTTTGTCTGTCTGTCTGGGAGCGCATCGCGAAAAAACACTACACAGATTTTAATGAAATTTTGTATGATGATAGCTATTTATCCGGCTCATCACATAGTATAATTTTTATTGCGGGAAAATATCTCATCTCTGAGAAATCTATACTTAACGATAAAACGTAACCAGGGACGAACTACAGGACAAAATTTATAAAAATTAGGCAAGATAGTTGTTTTTAAAATATCTAATATTCGCGTAAATCTAAGAAAGTATTATACATATATTACACTGAATTTCAGATTCTCAACGGCGTTCACGCCAGTTATAACTTTGACTTCCGAGTTCTGTCACAATGGGATAAGAGACCGAGTAATGCTCTTCCAATCGTCCTTCGTCTCAGTTTCACAAATAGTGATAGCGCTTATGTCCTGGGCAATACTACCGCACCAATGGAAACATTCACTTTTTAACGGCTATATCGGTAAGTTAATATTAGTATTATATTATAAGTTTATATAACACTAGTTTTTGCACGTGGCTTCACCCGCGTGCTAAGCGGGGCGAGGATCTAAGGCATCTTACGAGTATGTTCGTTCCCAGAATACAAGCTACATTTTTGTCCAATTTCATTGAAACCTGTTTAGCGGTTTAAATTTGAAAAAAACACAGACAGATCTACTTTCATGTCTATATTTTAAACTGCCTGTAAAAAAGTACGCTGTAATAAGGGTTAAGTTATCTACACATTTTTATTCATTATATTTAACTACAGACAAAGTTTAGTTTCTAAGCATTTAGAATGGTTTCGCCATTATAAAACGTTTTTTCACCTGAATCTTACATAATTCCTAATACGTCATATCAATATTAATCATCCTCACCAAAAAGGCATTCCAAAAGGCAACTCCAATTTACAAGCGAGGTTCCAAGCTGAACTTTCAGGTAAGTAGTCGCTAGTCCTCAACCCTATCGACTATAAGTCCTATAGACCATACCAATAGAGTCTATTGATCTCCAAAGTTTTGGACTTGAATTCATTAAAATTATTATAAAGTAAAAAATATTTTTTTTTAATGTTTGTTATGCAATATCGTCATGGTCTGGAGTAAACCAATTTTAATAATTTATTTATTAAATGGATAAGAAGAAGAAGAGTAGTTATATCTTTAAAAAAACGTTAATAAATTTCGACGACACGTTTGATTCAGTTTGTAGTGCAGTACTTGCTGTGTCAGCGAGTTCTCTGTATCAGCGGGTTCGAGTCCCACTGGGGTATATAATGGGGTATTCATTTGTCTAATGAGCACAAATGTTTTTGCTCCAGTCATGAGTGTTTATATTTATAATATGTATATATTTGAAGTTATATATGCGTGTGTGTATCAGCTATCTGGTATCCATAACAAAAGCCTCGTAGCTTACCATGGAACTAGATGGTGCTGTGTGTTAATGCCCCAACATATGAATAAAAAAATACCAAAAGTTAATGTATTTTTTATTTAAATAATAGTTATTATTGTATATTTTTAGTCTTCAACACTTGGAACTACTATCTGTTCATAATGTCAACGTGGTCGTTTTTGGCGAGTTTTATGTACATGTTCCTGCCAGAGAGCCCTAAGTATTGCATCACACAGAAAAGATACGATGAAGCTCGAGAGATACTCATATCAGTGTATAGGAAAAATACGAGAAGATCCGCAGACACGTTCTCAGTAAGTAATGCATTTATTATATATAAGTTATATCCAAAACGGCAAGTATAAAAATAGTAACAATATATGTATGTATAAGTTTTTTTGTTAATATTTGTAAAACTTTATGATATTTAAAAAAAGAATCATAAATTATTTTAAAATATGATGATATGGTTATAATATTTTGAAATTGTAAGTCAAAGTTGTACCAAGAATATAAAATAATTCATATTTATTTTGTGAGTACCCAATAGCCGAATTATTTTTTTTATATTTGGTTATAGTTAGAATCAAAACCGAAAATGTTAGTAAAATATCTCCTTTTCCGTAATAATATTTATTTGATCGATAAAATATTTTTTATCCGTATATGTATTATTTGCCGTTTTTTAGATTTAGGTATTGCTCTCGAAATTGTCACGGGAGAGACTGACTTTTTTGACGCTTTAAACATCATAGTTATATTATATTGTCGTTTATAGACGAACCTCTCAAATCAAGCAATTTATTAAATAGTTCTTTTAGGTTGCTTTAATTTTACAATTTAAAAAAAATATTAATTCAGGTTGTTATTGTTAAAACAAACATTTTAAAATATTAATATATAATAAATAGAAAATTATCTCCATTTATTTTTATATGGTAACCCAGCCAAATGGCCGAATTAATTCATTTTAGTCACATAACAATTATGTAATCAAAGGTGCTATTGGAAGCAAGCCAATGCACTAGTGTTAGAAATCGTAAGGAAAACGCGGAGCCAAATATTTTACTTTGCTTAAATGGGCACTTTGTAATATACTGTGCAGTCACAATCTACCTACTAGGTAATATATATGGTTCGAATTTGAAATGAAATATGTTAGTACTTTACCAAAAATCGTTGTACTTTAAAATATTTATAGCATTTAAAACTTAAAAATACTACTCAAGATGTTCAAAGGAAAATTAGAGGTAATATAAAAACGAATTGCTAAAGTATAATTTACTAGCTTATGCTCGTGAGTATACTACCTTTGTTTATATATATATATATATATATGTTTGCTATATTTATAATCATGATATGATTTTGTGTATCAATGAATAAGTTATTATATGTATAAATAATGTTTCAAACCTTACCAACTGTTAGTTTGAGAGATTAGAGCGTTTAAACAAACAGATAAACAATTTGTTCAGCTATATATGTATATAATAAAGAATGTAGCTTTTCTGTGTAGACTGAGATGTCCATGATATTATATACTTTATACCATTTGCTGAGCATATAAAGCCCGTGGCCTTACACCTGATCTCTCTCCGGTTAAGTAGCAGTTCCATCTAACTATGAAAGCGGGGAAATTCTTGTACACTACGTGTATCTAATACCTTTTGTATCGTTCATAACTCGTAAGAATAGCTACCCTGAATATAGTTTATCAAGTGAAGTATACTGTATATAATATACTATTAGTATAACTATCTATACATAATGTAATAAAATTCTAAGCCGAATCTGTACAATATTAAATATTTTTTGGAAAATCTTATTGAAATAGACATTATTATCGATACAGAGGCTGAATCTATAGTTTTTTGATTTTTTGTCTGTCTGTCTGTTACCGCATCACAGAGAAACCACGGGAGGGATTTTGATAAAATTTGGTATGGTTATATACAACATATAGAATACTTTTTATTGCGGGAAAATGTCTCCTTTCTGAGAAAAAATGCGAAAACTGCAATGTAAGAGTATACTAATATGTAAAACCTAAGAATTTAGTTTTTGGTTATCTGAACGCGGGCGGACCCGCGGGCAATGCTAATTAGTATAATAAAGACTGCTTAGAGCTTAGTGGCGTGCCATAGAAGGGGCGAATGTCATGTCATGTAACTAACGACTCACCCTTGCTTTGCTCAGGTTCGTCACTATGTAAGTATTAACAGTTAATATGGAATAGATAGACTATGTCTATATAGGTATGATAAGTTTTATATCTTTTCCTTCAGAAATGATTGATTCCCCATACAAACTTTCATGCCCCTTTTCACCCCCTTAAGGGATGATTTCCGGCGTAAAAGCTATCCTTTGTCCTTCCCAACAAACAAACAAACAAACAAACAAACAACGACAGACAAACAAACAAACAGACAAACAAATATATTATTAGGGATAGAATGTAACAAAATCACTATTTGAAATATTTTACAGCCACGAATTAATGGAACAAATGTTTATATTATACAAACGGATTTGTTAAATTTTTAAAGGCTTCACCATTTTCTTTAGGCGTTATAAAAAAATGTATCTGTGCTCCATTCTAAGACATTGTTTTCTCTGTTAAAAGCTTTATTAAATATTCATTTTTGTATGTTCCATCGCTGTCACCTTGAGGCAGTTCTACGTAATGGTCCTGAGATTTTATAAAGAATTTCCTCAGAAATTCATATTATATAGCTGGTAGAATATGAATGTGTTAAAAAATTCTCGTTTTGTTAGCTACGCGAATAAGCCACAGATAACTTCTGTTATAGTATTAACAATGAAGATGTGACCTAATTTAGTATCATATTATATTTATACTAGCGACTCACACTCGCTTTGCTCGTCGTTCGTGGTATATATATATATATATATATATATATATATATATATATATATATTCTACTATGTACATACATAGGTATGGAAAGTAGGTAAGTATTTTAAAAAAATATATCCCTTCCTTGAAAAACGATTGATTCTCCATACAAACTTCCAATCCTCTTTTCAACTCCTATAAGGATGATTTCCGGAATAAAAACTATCCTACGTCCGCTCCCAGGGTCTCAAACTATCTCCATACTAAATTTTATCTAAATCGGTTCAGCGGATTAGGCGTGAAATGGTAATAGACAAACAGACATACAGACTTACTTTTAATTTATAATATTAGTATGAAACAGAAGTAATATATTGTGGTTATTTAGTAGTACCTTTTAAAATTGGATACTAAGAGTTTGATTTTACAGTGAAAATATTCATAATGATCACAAATAAATAAATAATATACATATTATATTGGGACATTAACACACAGCACTATCTAGTTCCATGGTAAGCTACGAGGCTTGTGTTATGGATACCAGATAGTTGATACACTACACATATATAACTTTAAATACATACATATTATAAACACCCATGACTGGAGTACAAATATTCCTGCTCATCACACAAATGAATGCCACCAGCGGGACTCGAACCCGCGACCGCTGATACATCAAGTACTACAAACTAAGCCAAAAGTGTCATCGAAACGTAAGATGTTTGTTATTTTTGTATCTTTATGACAATAGTAGTTGAATGAATGAAGTTAAATGAAAGGTATTAGATGTAACAATAAATACCAAAAATAATATAGTACATGGAGGCTGTAAATATGAATATGGAGCACCTTTTATCTTCTCACCTTAGTTCGTTTATGTAATCTTGGGAGGGTTAGTGTAATCTCTACGAAACATTATATTCAGGGTTGATCTAAGAAAAAGGGACCACTCTTTAAAAACTATACAGATAAATAAAATTGAAGTGTCTGTTTGTAATTTCAAATAACAGTTTTTTACTAAATGCATATGAAATTATATACGGTACTTATAAGATAAACAAAATTTTTGAAATTTTCGTTTATCTGTCTGTCTGTTTGTTACGGCAAATCTTCGGGACTTTCACTGGCAGATAGCTAATATTAGAAGTAACTTAGGCTACTTTTGTTTTGGAAAAAGAATTAGGTTTCCACTCAAAAAATAAAAACGTACGCAGGGACACACCTGAGCGTAGTGAGGGTACTCGTAAGTCGCTAGTAAATGTATAAATATTTTAGAAGTCATTCTATTCAAAGGCAGTTTAAAGTAGGGAGGAAATACTCCATTCCACTATACCTCGAAATTACTATCATAGCGGAAGTACAACGTTTCGTACTACGAATTATTAAATTTTTGATAAATATTAAATTGATAAACATTAAATTTACCCTAATACTATGTAAGTTACAAAGAAGTTATGTAACAAATCAAACTGTAAAAAATATTTTTGTATAAAGGCTGTAATTACTTAAAATACTTAATATGTATATTTATTAGAGGAAAACATATATGAATAGAATTTATCTTTTTTCCTTTATTTTTCGTTTAGTAGGTATTGATTTTGATGTTATTAATATTTTTTTAATATGCATAAATAGGAAAATTTTGTACTAAAATTTTGAACTGGCACTTGTTGAAGTCATGAAATTCTATTCCGTCTGGAATAAATGTATTTATTGACCATGCAAATAATCAGTATTAATGTACGGAGATAAGAGGTTTTTTGAATATATTTAGGACTAAAAATGAATAAAAGAAAGAAATTTTGCTCATGAAATTTAAATGTTTTAGGGGAGTCAAATGCTTTATACATATATGCATTCTAGGGAATGAAGCCCCCTGGTTTTTGCAAAAATCTTATCAGCTATTTAACGGTGACATATACAAAGAAATGACTAAAACTTTTGAACACCTTTTATAGTATAATATCTAAAGCTAACATTTATTTTATAACCGAATTTTTGATGTTTATCTGATATTTTAACTTTAACTACTAATTTATGTCCATATAACTAATGGTCCTTCAAAAATTGAAGATGTATAAGGCTACTTTGAATACCTAGCTATACGAAAATCTTGATATTTTTTGTATAACTAACACTTAGCAGAAATCGAATCAGCATCAAACATCATAACATTGAGTTACTCTAACGAGAAGACTTGATGACTTTTAATTGGATAAAATAAAAGTATTTTTAATGTCCCACTGCTAGGCATGGGCTTCCCTTTAATACGAGGGAGATCAGGCCATAGTCCACCACGCTGACCAAGTGCGGGTTGGAGGACTTTATATGTATTTCGAAAACTTGCTAGGTTCTTTTAAACATGCAGGTTTCTTCACGGTGTTTTCCTTACACGTGAGACAAGTGATAATTATGTTGAAATTGATTCGCACATGAAAGTAGCAAAGA